CTCGCTGCCTCGACGTGCCTCCCGCATTGCTGCCGACTTGGTCACCACCGGCATTGACTCCCACGTCAACGCCGCCCTCGTTGTTCACCGGTCAAGGAGAAGCTGGTCGAGCAGGGTGTTCTTCCGCCCACACCGAGGGGATGCCTGCCTCGATGACCGCCAACGATAGGTTTGGCCCGTACTCGTTGGCCTCATGGCGTCTCCTCGCGTCCTCCAGCCATGCCTCCAGGGTGTCCACCACTCCTGCATCACCTACGGCGCCTACCATAGTGACTACCGCACAGCTGCCGGCCTACAAACGCGAATTAGGTAAGTGACCACTACGTAGACCTGACTGAAGGGGTAAGTCGTGTGCCGTCCACGCTCACCGCACCATGCGGAGATAACTCTATCAACGGGAGCTAGACTACGGACTAGGCACGGGGTAGGAGGGATCTCTGCGTTCGTTCCCTCAGTTGTTCTCTAGCACTTGTGCATTCACGGGGCAAAACCGCAAGAGTTTAACTTATGAGAAGTTGAGAAAAAAAAATTGGTAGCAACTAGGTTGGCAAGATAGACTACATCAGAAGCCTAGCATACAAGTCGACCACCAGCTCAGCACAAAGGCGACTTGCCAGCTGGTCGTCTTCGGGCATCCTCGTGCATCCTTAGTCAACCTGCAAGGCTGGCGTGCCAGCACACCAACAACAGACCACCACAGGTCACCACACGTGCTCATGTGCGCGCACCTACTTCGCAAGTGCAAATTGACGGTGACGACATGCACCGCCACGCACATTGCGCAGGTGCCAAATCGACCATATGTCGACGGTTGCGCCTGAGGAGTCCTCTTGACCACGTGCCACCGAACCGCGGGTCGACTTTGCCGATCTACCTGGGCGACGGTCACGAATCCTCACATACCGCATCGTCCGGGTAACCTGGTGTGTCATCCCAGGCCCGTCGACCGCCCAGGTCAACGACCACCTCATGTCGACCACACCAGGTCGACCACTCCCCTGGTCTACCAACTCCATGTCGACAACCCACCTGGTCGACCAACTCCATGTCGACCAGTACACCTGTCAGCCAACCACACCTTGTCATCTTCCTCTGGTCGGCGTCACCCAAATCGACGCCCTCCACTCGTCGACTTCCCAAGTCGACCAGCCGAAGTTGGCGCCCTCCAAGAGTCGGCGCCCTTGCAGTGGCCCTTGTGCAGATCGATCAGGCCCGTCAACCAGCTCGCCCACTGTTGCAGGTCGGCTGAACTCCTCACACCCGACCCCGAGGTCGGCTCCGCCCAAGCGAGGACGGGGCCAACAACAACTACCGTTGACAAGATCTACGCTGGGGCCATGGCTGCACATGAGCTACGCTGGCTGACCTACCTGCTGATCGACTTGGGGGAGCGGCCTTGTTCTCCTCAAGTTCTGTACGTCGACAACAAGACCATGCTTGCCTTGTATCACGAGCAGATACTGGAGCACATAACGAAGCACATTGCTCTTCGCTACTTCCTTGCGCGTGAGCTGCAGCAGCGTCGTCAGCTCCGCCTTTCCTACGTGGCCTCGCGGGCCAACACTGCTGATGTCTTCACCAAGGCCCTTGGGTCTGGTGATCATCAGCGTTTTTGCACTGCTCTTGGGCTTGTGCCCACTCTGTCTCACCTGCTGGTTGCTTGACTTGCTCTTGTTGTACACTGATATATATATTTATACCGTATACTCTCGGACAAAACACCCCCCCATAATTGTACACCCCCGGGTAGCTTGTGCGGGGTGGGTGTTATGGGGAGCCTCGTTTCTACTATACCCCCCTTTTTTGCTGATTTTCTATAACACCCCCCTTTTCTTACGAATTCGTTATAATAGTCGTTAACGAGTAGCTGCAATATTGAAGAATATCGCGAAAATTTCTCCCTAGATGAAATTTCGCGGTACATTCACTTACAATCTACCGAGATTTCCCCCCTCGCACTACTTCGCTGTGACCACGTGCAGGCGAATCTTCCGCTGCAAGTGGCAAGAGAGGTGCCACATGGCATTTTCGTGGGGGTGATGAAGCTCATGGCCGAAACCCACATTCGCGCCTCAGATAGTGATGTTAAAATGAGAATCAAAACACCCACATTGTCTAATTAAATAAACACTAACACTAAAATATACCATATGTAAAGACCCGGGTATTATGTATTTTTTTCCTATGAGGAGACCCCCCCCCCCCATTTTTTCCCTGTATTTTTAGCTATCCCCTAGGGTGCTATGTCCGGGAGAATACGGTACCTACTTGTTTGCTCTTGCTAGATTGTGATCAGTGTATTGTCTTACTATTATAACACTGCATGTGAACTGGCCTTGTGGCCGCTTGCTTGTGCTCAGATTGTGTGGTGACCTTGAGATCCACCCTGAGCTTTGCTTTGCTCTATTGTCTTGCTTGACTGGTATTGTGACCGTCTTGTTGTCCCCCACTTAACCTATGGGGGTGTGTCAAAGTACCACCATCTTACTTGTAGGCTATAGTGGGGCACTCTTTATGGGTTACAACACTTCTAGGGTTAGTACTTGTACCCCAACTCTTGCTAATCCAAACATTCCTGCATAGTGATTCTGACAGACCTCGAGAAAGTTGAAGTTTTTGCAGTGAGTGCAGCTTCGACCAATCAGGTTGCATCGCCTCTACAGTAACGGGTAGGTTGCAAGCAGACACGGAGTGACGCGGTGTCGGTTGTCAGTAGTTCTCTCATGCTGGCGTCGTAGTGCATCATTACGAAATTGGATGTATCGTTACGAAATTTCTAGGAAGAGTTTCAGAAGAGAGGGGGGGGGGGTGCCTGTACGCTCTTCAGGGTAATCTTCGCTAAGGGAAAAATTACCCCAGAGCATCAGTGTGGCCTAAATCGTTACACTGACATATCAGTGTAACACTAATCCCCCCAAATAAAACCCAAACCCATCAGTGCAGGCCCTAAATCTCACCTTTCTAATCAGTATAGCAGTGTAAATTACACTGATAACGAGAGCCCTGGCTCTGAGCGTATACGTGAAATCCGGACTGGGAGCCAAACCAGCCCTTAAGGAAAACGGGCTGGCCTCAAAGCCAGCACTTGAATTCTCTGAGTTGGGCTCAAACACACACTTGAATTCAAGGGTAAAAAGGGCAGATGCCCTTGTAGCAACAGGCCTCCCAAGGCTCCTCCCCTCTCCCTCCTCTCCCTTCTCTCACGCTGCCCGGCATACCAGACTCTCGCCGCTGCCTACAAATCTGCACCTCAATACCTCATTCAAATCACCGCTCTCGGTTTCAAGCACTACTAGTAGTACTATCTTGTCAGCCTTCTGAGCTTCGTTCGACTTCGCGGTTTGTTCTCCTCGATATGGCCTCGGTCTCTGAGTACCCTCTGTATCATACCGCGCTTAGCTTCTGGAAGAATGAGCACGAAAAATGTCGTTCCAGCCAACGCTGCAGCCCCAATGCTGCCAGAGATGCCAGCGGTGACGTTGGATGCTTCAGCGTCGGATGCTGAAGCGCCAGATATTCAACCGTCGGATCATGCTGAAAGATTGGATACGATAGCATCGTATGCTGAGCTGTCTGCTTCAGTGTCGGGTGATGCAGCATCGGTTGGTGAAGCGTTGGATGCTGAACCGTTCAATGCTGAACCGTCCCCACCGTCGTATGCTAAAGCAAGGTTTGTGAAGCGTCAGATGCTGAATCGGCGGATGCTGCAGCGTCAGATGCTGAATCATCGGATGCTGAAGTGTTGGATGTTCCAGCATCAGATCCAACGGTGTCAGCTTCGAAGATGCTATCGCCAGGTGGTTGCACGAAAACGGCAGCTAAAATGCCAGCATGTGCCGTGCTAGCGCTGCTGCCGTCACGGATCCCTAAGGCAAGCGGTAAGAGAGCAGTGGTGAGGCGCATGGAAGGAGCGACGCTCATCCAGAGGCCTAAATTCGCTGCACCGTTACAGCTAGCAGGCAGGGAGGCGAGGGGAGTGGAGGTCGAAGCTGCAGGCAAGCGGCCTAGCAGAACGGCGAGGGTCGTGCGGTCACGCTGCTGTGGGAAAATATATATAAAAAAATAAACAACAAAAAAAACCCAAAAAAGGCGAATGGACACTCAGCAGACGGTGCTTAACGGCTCAAAGGCACAGCCATGGCGGCCTTGAGTTGCTGCAATGTGGTAAGGAAGAATCTGGCTGAAAAAAAAAATGTTACAGGAAAAGGAGATGGACACTCAGTAAGAGGTAAGTGATGTTGGTTGAAATCGCAATGGCACAGAGACTCACAGTCATGGTGGCCTTGACTTGGCTGCTGCAGTTGAAAAATGTACATCTATGGCTGAAAAAAAAGGTGAGAAAGAACAGTCCCCACATAAAAGTATCTGATAAAAAAAGGAGAAAGAGGAAGGGAGGATGGGAGAGAAGAGTGAGCAGATGGATGGAGGCAATGCAGCACAGCAGCTGACACAGCAGGGAGTTGGTGGGAGGTTGGTTGGAGGGGTTTGGGAAGGCACTCGGCGGCAGCAGTAGCCTTTTTTCACCCAGCTTGCTTGGGTGTTTGTGGGAGTGTGGGAGGTTAAACCGGGGGAGGGTACCAGGGCTGAGGAACAGATGCTGTGCTGATGTGCTAAGATGTGCTCCTCAAGGGATGGCTTCAGGTTATCGTGCTCTCTAGCTATGGCTGTAGGTGAATGTGCATTCTAGGTGACGGGTTCAGGCGTTCCTAAAGGGAGAACTCTAGGAAGCATGCTACAACTAGAGGCAAGGCAAATAAGTCCACATAATTACGGTATTAAAGAATATTAAGTGCACTTAGTGCTGTTCCTCTTACCGTAGTAAAGAAAGTATACTTAGTGGTGTTTATCTTGTACTTCATCAGTAGTCAGATGTCAGTGTTCTCAAGTGCAGCGCAGGTGCATAATTTTGTAGACCAACGCCGCTAGCAGGAATACCCCTGCAGGAATGTTCCCTAACAAGTTGGGTAAAGCACAAGAATACCCAGCAGTGCCGCACTGCACTATTGTACTGCAGCGAATGGCAGGTGCCATTCTGTCTGGTGCGCTCCAATGGGGGCGAAACAGAGAGGAGGGAGGAATGTGAACAACAGGGGCTGCTGCCTGGTGGGTGGGGAGGGGGAGTGAGGAAGGGAGACGGGGGGTAGGGAGGAGGGAGATGGCAGAGAAGAGGGAGTGTGTTGGCAGACATGGAGAAGAGATGGATTCGCCTCGCTCGCATCTCCCTGGGTCCTCCCTACCCCTCTCACTCCCACCTCCTCTGCCAGCCACCACTCGCTGCTGCCCAGAGTAGCCATCACTTCCCCACAATGCCCTCCGTTCTCTCCCCTTGTCTCGACCCCTCTCACCTGTTCATCCCACTCGCCACCCCCATCCGCCTCTGCCATCCCGCCTTCCCTGCCAGCAGCGACAAGCTAGGAGCACAGAATGGCCGGCGGCACCTATTATGACCTCTGCTGCTGCACAGCATGGAATGCACTGCCCTCATCACCTCCATACCCTCACACTCATCATTTCCCTCCCTTCACACGCTTTATTTCCCTCCGCTCATGCAAGAACACCCACCACCTCACCCACAGCCTCCTACCAACCCTCTCTCTGGTCCCGAACCCACCTTTCCCATGCACCACCCACCATCCCCACGCACCACCCACCATCCCCACGCACCACCCACCATCCCCACGCACCACCCTCCATCCCCACGCACCACCCTCCATCCCCACGCACCACCCACCATTCCCACGCACCACCCACCATTCCCACGCACCACCCTCCATCCCTCTGCTGCACCTTCCCTGGGATGGGAGTTGGCTTCTGCCGGGCTCTGCTGCACCAACGGAAGCGGGCGGTGGGGTCGGGACATCGGCGGCAGGTAGGCAAGAGGAAGGGGGCGGGAGAGAGAGAGGAGATGGGTGAGCAAGGAAATATTGTAAGAGAATAAAAGGGTAGGAGAAAGGGCGAGGGGTTCCGGCGGGGAAGGATATGGGTTGGAGGGAGAGGAGGATCGGTCAAAAACAGGTCGGCGGTAACGAGAGAGGAGGTGAGTGAGAGAGAGTGAGGGGGTGGGTGAGAGAGAGTAAGGAGGTGGGTGAGAGAGAGTGAGGAGGTGGGTGAGAGAGTGAGGAGGTGGGTGAGAGAGAGTGAGGGGGCGGGTGAGAGAGAGTGAGGAGATGGGTGAGAGAGAGTGAGGAGGTGGGTGAGAGAGCAGGGACCGTTGCGAGAGAGAGTGAGAAGGGCCCAGAGGATGGGAGGAAGAGAAGGATGGGGGAACGATGGGACGAAAACGAGAGGAAAGATGGGGTTACGTTTGGGACGTTGAGGGTTGTATGATTGGAAATCAGGCATGACGGTGAAGGCATGGAGCACATGCGTGAATGTGTGAACTGCGATATGAGCATGAGGTTGTGCTTGTGCGCATGCATGCCTGCGCCACAAAGAACCACCCCACCTGCACTGCTCGCATCTGAAGCACCAAGAGGCATGGCGCCCGCTGATGTGGCGCCCGCTGATGTGGCGCCCACTGATGTGGCGCCCGCAGATGTGGCGCCCGCTGATGTGGCGCCCGCAGATGTGGCGCCCGCTGATGTGGTGCCCACTGATGTGGCGCCCACTGATGTGGCGCCGCCTGCTGTGGCGGCTGAGGAGGCGGCGGTGGCTGGGCAGCCCCAGTGGAAGCGGCGCGTGTAGGTGTGACGCCAAGCAGCGATGACGTCATGGCACGGATGAGCAAACGCAGCACAATGCCCGGCAGCTCATGCTTGCCATGCCCGGGGAGGGGGGGAGATGGGGGGCAACGAGGGAGGGGTGGGGACGGACGGGAGAGGGGGGAGACGAGGGGAGAGTGGGGTCCACGATACGTGAGTGAGGGTTGACCATGCAACGTGAGAGTGGGGTCCAAGATACGCGGGAGAGTGCGAGCGGGAGCGCATGAGGCCCAAGGCGATGAGGGCGAAAGGCGGGAGGGAGGTGTGAGAGGTGGGCAGTGTGAGCCGCGATCAAGTGGCAGCTGGCAGAGCAGAAACGTGCTTTTTATTGAACGCGCCCTTGAGATTATGGGCTAGAGGGATCAGGAAGGGGTGGAGCAATAGCCAATCACAGCGCGCATCGGCTTCCATTTGCCACCACCAGCCAATCAGAGTAGAGGCAGAGACAGCGAGACTCAAGAAAAGAGAAAGGAGAGCGTGAGAGGGAGAGATTGAACGAAAAAAACTTCCCGTTCTCTCCCCGCTGCACTCCTCTCCCCTCCCCTGAACCCCTCTGCCTGCTGCGCTCTGCTGATTGGACAGGAAGCAGCGGGGAAGACACATGCATGCTTCAGAGAGCACAGAAGCTTCATCATCTCCCTCTTGCACCCAACTCTCAGAATGAAGAGCTGCTCGGAAGTAAAAAAAGAGAATTTGAGAAAAACACAGTCTCACTGCTGGCCTACCAAGCGTGCGAAAGAGAGAGGGGATCAGAAGAGGGTGTTGAAATCAGAGCACACGCGGTTTGTCTGCCGCCATCAGCCAATCAATCACAAAAATACCCCACCCATACAGGTATGAGTGCTCTGCGAAAGACTTTCCCCAAGGAGGGAACGGCCGGGAGGCACGAGCAAAGCACACGGCTGGGTCAGACCTTTTACTTTACCATCATCTCCCCCTCATAACGAGTCTTGCCTCTGAAATAGGCCGAGGTAAGCCTTGCCTCGTTGTAGGTGCATACCCATATGTACATGCATGCATCCATTTACAAACACATTCTGATGAAGCGCCCTTTATATCAAAGCTCAGCACGTATACGCAGTGCAAAAAAATAAATAATAAGTAGACTAGAAAAAGACATGTTGCATGAAAGCACACGTGGAAAATGATCAAGTGGTGCACTGTGACGCAACGGCGCTTGTGGAAAAAAGACGTCGCAGGAGAGACGGCGGGGTGACGGGAGAGGGCGGCAAGGCGACGGGCTTGACAACGAGGTGCGTTGAACAGGGGGTAGAGCAGTTGACGCGTGAGACACGCCGGTCGGTATCACGGCGCTTATCACACCTATCGAGCAATGCACGTGTCAGCCGGTGAGTGGCGCACAACCGGGTGCAGAGGGCGTGTAGAGCGCGCCGAGTCGAGCAGCGGTGTGGTGCGGCTGGCATTCCGCCACTCCGCGCGTCGCTCCAACCCTCCGCCTCTACTGCCGCCAACGGCCTCCCCGCCATGCGTTCGACCCCGCGAATCACACTCCACGTCGCTGCCACCGGGTCGGCGCGCAGTGAAAGAACTTGGAGGTGTACAATTACTAGAATCTGCACTAGATGAATTCTTCGTTCTTATAACAGATAAATATGAAGTAAGTAACAATCTCGCGTTTGCTTCAAGGAAACTGCTGTCTGCTTGTCTCTAAAGCAGGCCGTTGTAGCAGCAGCGATTTCCGTCCAAAAATCCCTTCTGCCATCAGCTATGGCTACGGGAACGTACCTTACCATGTCTGCTCACGAGAACATACCTTTACCATGTCTGCTCTACTGAAAGCCGAACTCAAATTTGCAACAAGTGAGGAAGACAGGAGAGAGACGGTAGTTTTGGTAGACGGTTTTGGAGGTTACAAACGGTTTGGTAAGTTTCGATCAGATAAACCACGGTTAGAGTGTGTGGAAGTTTGAAGCATATCACCCTCGCCGTACATTCAAATCAACCGCTTTAGTTCACACAGCACCTCACTGGACCCTAATCGTATACTGTACAGTACAATGAGGTGAGATATTTGCGTCTCCAATGAGACTCCACGCCACGTCACAGAAAATCATGTGGTGCTTGGCTGATTGATGAAGATGTGGCGAGGCGAATCGTCACGCAGACCTTCGCGAAAAACGCCACCTGTGAAGTTCACTAAACAAGTCGTCGCGAACACTTTCGCAAGTAGCCTAACCAATCTCGCAATGTTTGAAAATTTTAGCCCCCACCGATTGGCCGATCTCAGATTGCGGGGATTTGGATGACCAGTTTGGGAGATTTCAAAGCATCGCGGATTGGGAAACCAAGCGGTGACGAGGAGTCAGCGTCCAATCACAGTTGCGCCCAAACACCCGCTTCAAAACTCATTGTTCCCAAGTTCATAACTGGCATCAGTCACAGTAGAAACAGCAGCACTCGTTTTCTCAGCCAAGAATTTCATATCAGCTATTCAAACATCCATAATGGCTGCTCTCGCCAACGCTGCCGTGCTCCCCTCCACCTTCGTCGGCCAGAGCGCTGAGCTCGCCGCCAAGGTGAACAATGTCGAGGCTCGCGTGACGATGAGGAAGACCGCCAAGGCGGCGTCCAGCAGCGCCTTCTACGGCCCCGACCGCAATCTGTTCCTGGGCCCCTTCAGCTCCCCCCCGTCGTACCTCACCGGCGAGTACCCCGGCGACTACGGCTGGGACACCGCTGGTCTGTCCGCTGACCCCGAGACCTTCGCTAAGAACCGCGAGCTTGAGGTACGCCTACCGGAATCTGTAACGGCACATATGAGACGCATTCCTCACGAAAGAAAATGAACCTGCTATTAACGTTTCACCTTTTTATTTAGCAGCATCCTTGAGACGTTCTCACCTTCGCTGCTTTACAACGCCCGTTGTTTCAAGTTACTGACCGTGTTCACTTTTCCATATAATGTTCACTGACGCGGTATCAATCTTCAGGTCATCCACGCTCGGTGGGCTCTTCTCGGTGCTCTCGGCTGCCTCACCCCCGAGCTCCTCGCCGGCAACGGCGTGAACTTCGGCGAGGCCGTGTGGTTCAAGGCCGGCGCGCAGATCTTCTCCGAGGGTGGCCTTGACTACCTCGGCAACCCCAGCCTGATCCACGCGCAGTCCATCCTGGCCATCTGGGCCACCCAGGTCATCCTCATGGGTGCCGTCGAGAGCTACCGCGTGGGTGGCCTCGAGGGCTTCCAAGAGGTTGAGGACCCCCTGTACCCCGGCGGCGCCTTCGACCCCCTGGGTCTGGCCGACGATCCCGATGCGCTTGCTGAGCTGAAGGTGAAGGAGCTGAAGAACGGCCGCCTCGCCATGGTGTCGATGTTTGGCTTCTTCGTCCAGGCCATCGTCACCGGCAAGGGCCCCCTGGAGAACCTGAACGACCACCTGGCTGACCCCACCGTGAACAACGCGTGGGCCTATGCCACCAACTTCACACCCGGTGCTTAGATATAGAGCCTTCCTGTACATTTGTTCCTATACACGCTTTTAAATAAAACCAAATGCAGCTTCATAGCTGAAACCGACCTATCATATCTGTGCCAAAGACATAAAAAAAAATGCGGTAGCTTTTAACACGGAATAACCGCGCACAGTTCGCAATTGACACTGGCTCTCGCGGATGTCTGCGACGCAACTGTAGTGTCAAAAAACATTTGTGACGCCATAGTTAACGCCAGAGTCGGAGCTAGGCGTGGTGCATCAGAGTCGGACTTTGGCACCTTCAGGCAAATCCATGGCGGCCTCGTTTCAGACAACTTCAATAGCGTCTGTCAAAGTTAAATTTATATTGTTAGTTAGCCTGTAGTGAGTTGCATGCTAGGGGGTACAACATTTCACTCGATACTATTCTTGTACCCCTCCCCTTTTACCTAATGCATCATTCTTCTCTCACCTAGGTTAGGTTAGGCCGACCCCCCCCCCCCCGCCCTCGCTGCCCCTCACGCACTGCCCTTAGCGCACTTTACTGCCACGCGCGCGACCGTTACGCTCGCCCCGCTTCAACTCGCGCTGCTGCTGCGCGCGCCTTTGTCCTGCGCACCCCGCAAACCCGCTGATCCGCTGCCCCGCGCGCTGCTGCTGCACGCGCTCTTGTCCTGCGCGCCCTGCTGCCCCGCTGCCCCGCACGCCGCATGCCCCGCTGCCTTGCGCGCCATTGCGCTGCACGCCGCTGCTTTGCGTGTCGCTGCCCTGCATGCCTCACTGCCCTTTGCACCGCTGCCGCCGCTTCAGCATGTCAGAATGTACTTGTATACATTACTATAACTGCCTGTAGTGTAGACCTAGTGTAGCTCTATGTTCTTGTTTGGTGGTGCACTCTCATGCTTGCCTATTTGTACTGCTCGCTCTATAGTGAACAACCTCTTTTGGCTAATCTCTCGACCCCTTCCTCTCGTAACTCTCGTTCTACCCTCAACCCAAGTCCTAAGTCAACTTAGGTTTCTAACATGGTTTCAGAGCACTTAAGCTCCTAAGACCTGTTGTCCATGGGCCCACCGCTGTTACTTTCTCGCTCCTGCATGGCGCCTTCGCCCCCATTCGATCCCTGCTTCGTGCTGCCCGTCGCGCAGCTTCCGTCCGTCACGCTGCCCATGACGGCGAGCTGCGCGATGGCGCCAGATGCGGCCCCGTTTCGGCCCCCTCGTCGCAGCCCGTCCGTCCCCCGCTGCCCCGGCCCGTCCCGTCCCCGTCCAGCGATGCGCAGTGCGCACAGCCGCACGCACGCAACCGCGAACGCGCAGCTGCACACACGTCACCAGTCACGCGCGCGACTGCAGCGAATTGCGCAGCTGCAGCCGCACGCGCAGCAGCAACCTCTCGCGCGACTGCAGCGACACCTGCAGCTGCAGCCACACGCGCAACTGCAGCCGCCTGCTGCACCCTCGCCCGCCATTTTTCCCCTTTCTCACTGCTGCTCGTGCACCAGGGGGGGGGGGAGGGTGTTGGGGGGCGGGGGTGGTTGACGCCACTCTGCTGCTGCGCTACGCCGCCGCCAGCCTTCTCCCTCTCCCTGCTGCTGGTGCAGCCGTGAAAGGGGTGGGGGGAGGGTGTGGGGGTGGGGGGTGTGACACGCCAACAGCCGTCCCTCCACCTCTCCACTCCTACTGCAGTGGGGTGGGGGGGAGGGTGAGGGGGTGGCAGGGATGACCAGCATGCGCCAGCCCACCTCCTCTCTCTTCCTGTCGCCCCTCCTGGGGTGGGGGGGAGAGGGGGGGGGGGGGAGGGTGAGGGGGTGGCGTTGGAGGAAGGGTGGGGGGAAGACGTGAGGTTCCAGGGGCGGTTGACAAGGGGGGTGAGGTTGACAAGGGGGGTGGCTGAAAGGGGGCGTGGAATTAGGGGGTTAGTAAGAGGGGCTCGCCACGCTAGGCTCCCCCCCACCTCCTCTCCTCCCTCTCTCACCACCCCCCCTTGTAAACAGGGGGTTCGTAAGAGGGGCTCGCCGCGTGGCTCCCCCACCTCCTCTCCTCATCCCTCTCTCATCCCCCCCCTTCGTAAAACGGGGGTTCGTAAGAGGGGCTCGCCGCGTGGCTCCCCCACCTCCTCTCCTCATTCCTCTCCTCTCCCCTCTCTCTCTCTCGTCTCCTCCTCCTCGCATTCCTCTCTACCGTCTTCCGCTGCGCTTGGTGTACCCCTTCCGGGGGTGTTTCTGCACATGGTTCTTCACTGCAGGCAGTTAGGGGGTGTGTCAGAATGTACTTGTATACATTACTATAACTGCCTGTAGTGTAGACCTAGTGTAGCTCTATGTTCTTGTTTGGTGGTGCACTCTCATGCTTGCCTATTTGTACTGCTCGCTCTATAGTGAACAACCTCTTTTGGCTAATCTCTCGACCCCTTCCTCTCGTAACTCTCGTTCTACCCTCAACCCAAGTCCTAAGTCAACTTAGGTTTCTAACACAGCAGCCACTGCCGCCGCTCCTGCTGCTACAACTTTCACAACTGCTGCCACTGCTGCGTCCCCACACACCACTGCTGCCGTGCTGCTGCCGTCGCTTCTGCTGCTACAACCGCCACAACCGCCGCTAAGACTGCTGCTACAGCCGCCGCTACTGCTGCTACAGCTGCCGCCACAGGTGCCACTGCCACTGCCGTTGCTGCTACTACAGCCGCCACGGCTGCTGCCGCTGCCGACCCAGTTGTTGCAGCTGCTGCTATTCCTCCCTTGTCCCCTGCCACTACAGCTGCTGCCGCCACTGCTGCTGCCACTGCCGCCGCAGCTGCTGCAGTTCCTGCCCTGCCCCCTGCCGCTGCAGCTGCTGCTGTCACTGCTGCTGCCACTGCCGCCCCAGCTGCTGCTGCTGCTGCTGCTGCTGTTCCTGCCTTGCCCCCTGCTGCTGCCACTACCGCTACAGTCGCCGCCACTACTGCTGGTGCCGCTGCCGCTGCCGCCACTGCCACTGCCCTGCAGCTGCTCCCCCCCCCCCCCCCCCCCCCCCCCCCTCCCCTCCCCCCTACTGCGAGAGCTATTGCCACTGCTA